AAGACAAGTTCATTTTAATCTCATCATTTTCAACGATGCATTTTTTTTTTTCATTTAGTGTTAATACAGCACAAACTTTGGGTGTTGGCCTAAAGTGTCTGTCTACAAATCACTAAACAGTGTCGCCCCCCCCCCCCCCCCATCTCTCTGATCTGCTACAACAGTATTTCCCACCACGTTCCCTGAGGTCAGCGGACCAGTTGCTCCTCACAGTTCCAGGAACTCGTCTTAAGCGCAGAGGTGACAGGGCCTTCTCTGTAGCAGGACCAAAACTCTGGAACGAGTTACCTCTGCTTGTCAGACAGGCCCCCTCCCTCTCGGTTTTCAAGTCCCGTTGAAAAACTCACTACTATTCAGTAGCTTTCAACACAAGATGATCTGTGTTTTGATCCTGTATGCTCCACACTGGTTAGTCGTCATTATCTGCATCGTTTTTTGTCTATATTCTGATTTACCTCAATTTGTATTTTGCTTTGTGTGTTACCTGTTGTTTTGTCTGTACAGCACTTTGGTTGGTCTTGTTGCTGTTTTAAGTGCTTTATAAATAAAGTGGTATGGTATGGTATGGTATGGTATGGTATGGTATGGTATGGTATGGTAAAGTGCACCCGGCAACAGGTGAAAGTTAAAAGCAAGAACATTCTAAAGACCAGTAAACTGCAGCTGATGAGGCAGACATGTTCCTGTTTTTAGTATTCTACACCGTTTAATAACGTAGCTTGTTTTTGTTTAGTTTTATATCACTTTTTTATTTATTTATGGCTGTCTATCATCTGTAACTCATCTGTGTTTTTTGTTTAAAACATGTCTTGTAAATGAGTCCTCGCGACTCAATGAGACTAACCTGTATAAATAAAGGTTGTACAGTACAGACGGGATGTGTATATGACCTGGAAGGTGTTTGCTCACACATTAGACCCGATTGTCTGGACTGATTTCAGCAATACTTCCACACACCTTTATAATTATCTCCACAGCCGAAGGGTTAAACAGGCTACTCAATTAACCTCTCATGCCAATAAACAGCATGGCAATATGTGATAACCATAAATGATTATCTGGCAATCTTTACTTTTACTTTGCCTGAAAATCCTGCAGGGAGGGGTCCTAATCAGATGAACCTCCTCAACTGACTCCTTTTGGTGCAGAGGAGCAGTAGTTTTACTCTGAGCTGCCCTTGGATGACAGAGCTCTTCACCCTATCTCTAAAACTGAGCCTATGAAGGGAGCTCATTTCAGCGGCTTGGATTCAGGATCTGGTTCTTTCTGGTTATTTCGGTCATGATACAGACTGCATGACCTCAGATGAAGGTTGGAACGTAGACAGTCAGTCTCTCCATCATCACAGACATCTACACCTCTAGATGCAGGAAGAGGGCCACCTGCATCATGAAGGACCCCACTCACCCAGCACACACTTTTTGCCCCGCTCTCCTCAGGAAAGAGGTTAAGGAGCATTAAGTGTAGAACCACTAGACCGAGGAACAGCTTCTACCCTGAGGCTGTTAAACTCTTGAATCTCTAACCAGAAAAATCACTGTGAAAAAATCACATCATGTTGCTGCTGATCTGTTTCAATGTTGCTGCTGATCTGTTTCATGTTGCTGCTGATCTGTTTCATGTTGCTGCTGATCTGTTTCATGTTGCTACTGATCTGTTTCCTGTTGCTGCTGATCTGTTTCATGTTGCTACTGATCTGTTTCATGTTGCTGCTGATCTGTTTCATGTTGCTGCTGATCTGTTTCATGTTGCTGTGTTCATGCGTGCTCATCTGCTCACACACACTCATGTTTGTGCTGCTGTTCGGTGTATTGTTTTATGCTATTAGTGCTTAGCGTATTTTTAGTTAATCTTTTTTTTTTAGATCTTATTACAGTTTTTCTTTTACATTGTATTGTTGGATGTAATGGGGACCCTGTTTACACAATTCCGTTCCACCACATGTGGTGCAAATGACAGATAAAGAAACTCTGACTCTGACTCTGAGACAGACCAGCACATCCAGAGCTTTGCCTTTCAACTCAACTCTTTTTTCATTATGACTGACTGAAGCAACACCCTCATTACTGAGGATGAGACCTCAATCCGTGATTCATCTTCCACTCCATCGTACCATCACTCAGGAACAAGACGCCCAGATTCTTCAACTCATCCAGATCATCTTTGCTACAGGTGGAGACAAAGACTTCTACTTCTGACTTCAACAAAAAAATAAATGTTGGTGACAAAATGTCTTTCCCATTTGCGTAATTTGTTTAATTTAAAAAATGCATTTAGCTTACAAATACTGTATGTGACATATACAGTTCATCACAATTTTCCAAACTGAATATTCTTGTCCTTTTAAGAACAAAATGAAATTAACATTTCCTAAAAAAAATTAGAAAATGTAAGTATAAATTCCCAAAACATGATCAAACTGTGGGTTGCTTTTTAGATCAGTTACATTTCACAAAACTACATTTTTTTAATCACCCACAGCAATAAAATATGTTGTGGATGATCTTATTGAAAGTGTCAGGCAATTTTGATGTATTAATACATATTTATGCTCAGAGTTAAAGTAATGTATGTAGGTTATAAGACACGGTTGTAACAGGAAATTTTCTGGTCTAGAGGAAGTTATGCAAAAACCACCTGTTTTTGAATGCGGAAATCTGCCATTAGATTTCTCTTCCACACTGCTTCATACGTGATATTACTGTTGTGTCATCTTTCTCTTTTCTTTCATGTTTAGCATTTGTTATTATTATTATTATTTTCATTAAACTTTTATTTATGCAGGTTAATCCCATTGAGCCTCGGGGACTCATTTACAAGAGAGACTTGATTTTAACAAAGAGTGATGACAACAGTAGACAACAAAGACAATCATAGACAATTATAAAGGATGCGTACAATTTGAGATTTAATAATTATTATTATTATTTTTACAAATGAAAATAAAATGGCGTTTAAAAGAAAATGTAACAAAAAAAAAACAGCTAGATTGTAAGGCGGTATAGAAAACTAAAAAAACAGGAGCATGTCTGCATTGGTTCTTGCCAGGAACTTAACAGATGTTTGAAGCCACTTAGAGAGGTCAAGGTCGAGAGCTTCAGATCTTTTTGCAAGATATTCCAAGAAACAGGGGCGAAGTAGGAGAAGTTCCTTTTGTCTAGTTCAGTCCGCACTGAGGGGACACTGCAGGTAATAATGTCCTATGAGCGCACGCTGTAGCTGCACTCATACAGAGACATGTGAGAGGAGATGTATGAAGGCAGCAGACCAAGAAGTCATTTAAAGATGAAAATGTACCAGTGAGAAAGACTTATTATTATTACTATTGTTATTATTAATTATTATTGGGGGAGTGGTGGCACAGAGGTTAGAGAAGGTGGACTTGTGATCGGAAGGTTGTCTGTTCAACTCCCCGTACAACATCAAAATATGGGAGGAAAAAGTGAAACACCCACACCTGCCTCCATCTTCATTTAGCTCACTCTGGGCCTTTGAGCAAGGCCCTTAACCCTCACCATCTGCTCCCCCGGGCGCCCTAGATGGCAGCTCTTTGCTCCACACAGAGGGCTGTGGTAGCTCGGTGGTCTGTTGTTGCATCAGGAAGGGCATCTGGTATAAAAAAAAATAAACAAATTACCAAGTCTTTGTGTGAGTTATTGGCAACCCCAGAAGACGGGAGCAGCCGAAAGAGGGAAAAAAAGATTATTATTATCCATCCATCCATTATCTTAATCCACTTCTTCCTTTTTGGGTCATGGAGGTCACTGGTGCCCATCCAGCAGTCACTGTGCAGGAGGCGGGGCGTGTCTCCAGTCCATCACAGGGACAGAGACAAATGAGACGAACAATCATTCACTCTCTTACTCACACCTAGAGACAATTTAGAGTTATCAATCAGCCTAACATGCATGTTTTTGGTCTGTTGGAGGAAACCGGAGTACTCGGAGAAAACCCACACATGCACGGAGAGAACATGTAAAGTCCACCCAGAAAAGTCCCGGTCCGGGATTTGAACAGGCGACCTTCTCGCTGAGATGCGGCAGCTCTACCAACTGAGCCACAGTGCCCTCTTGTTATTGTTGTTGTTGTTGTTGTTGTTGTTGTTATCATTGTTGATGTGTTATTATTATTGTTATCGTTGTTGTTTATTGTTGTTATTATGATCATTGTTGTTTTTTCTTTGTTGTTATTATTTCGCATTTGTTTACCTGCACAGCTTGAAGTACAGCACATCTATGACATTCAACGTGGTTTACATGGATCAACCGAGTGTTTTGTTTACACTGAGTGCATACCCTCATTTTACAAATGTTTATGAGGATATCTTGAAAACTACTGCAGTATCTTCTTCCAAACTGCACTGTTTGATATATAGCTCGGGATCACCTTGTTTGAAGTTTGATTTTATAACGAGCTCCTTCAACATGTTTGTCTGACTCCATGCAGTGAGTTCATCACTCTGCCTTATACAGCGCTCATTGTCATTAAAGAAACAACGGACAAATAACCACTGAATCCTAGAGAGTTATATTTATTGGCCAACATGATTTTGTTTGTAACACTTGAAGTGTGTGGAGAGGACTCACAACCTTTAATGAGATGTTGCAGGATCCTCTGGCTGCCTTTGAGAACTTCCGACTCTAGAGGTCTCCATCCTTCAGCATCCTCCTCCTCCTCCTCCTCTTTGGTGTTTCGTGTAGCGGAGGAGGAGATGAGGAGAGGCTGCCGGAGGAGGAGACAGAGAGGGGACCCGGAGACAGCACGTCCCAGAAGCAGACAGCCAAGCAGGGAAGGAGGGGTGAACTGCGATGAAAACAATGAAGAGAAAGAGCCACGTTTCTTCCCGCTCCTCTTCTTCTTCTCCTCGGGAGGCTTAGCTGCGTCGGGCGTGTGCACCATCTGATGTCCTTGGACTCATACTCTCCATGAAGACTGGTGTGTGCGTGTGCATGTGTGTGTGTGGTTCCAGGTCGCTCGTCGTGCCTGAGGTGAGCGGACTGAAGCCCGAGGCAGCGTGAGCGCAGCGCGCATTGTCTGCAGCGCCGGTGCCATTCCCAGCCGTCATGTCTGCGCTCACACGCTCTTTGTTCCTGGGTAAGTCCTCTCCTTTGGTACAAATCAGCACTCACCCCGCCTCATTTCATTCTGATTTAGGTCTGATTATTAAACAGACCTGCTCTCTGTCATTTAGAAGGATGTCAATTCGTGTTTTTGACTCCCTCTTAGGGAAGCAAGCCTTCTCCCCTTCTGATGTGAGGAGGCTAACAGGGATTTCATACTGATGCTGTTGTTAAAGAGAAAATCAGAAGTCCCGTTTATTTTCATTTCAAACGCTCTTTTTCCTGGTGGATGATTTAAAGAGTGAAAGACAATAAAGTTGGCCTGACCCCTCCCTTTAAAAGTGCTGCTCAGTTTGTATTGACCCAGCCTGCTTCGTGTTTGTATTGACTCTTCTCTTCAGAGAAAGGCCTGCTGTCAATCCAATTTTCGCCACCTCGTTCTGTTGTCAAGAAGTTAAGCTCCACTTGGAAGATGTTTCCTATTTTTGTCATTGTCTTCATATTGGAGTGCACACTGAAAGCTCGCTTTGCCTCGATAAAAACACATTAACTTTAGTGCCGCTGCTAATGAATGCTCCCAGTCTATAGCTGTGATAGGAGACTGTGTGGTGCCTGGAGGGGTCTCCAGGTCTGCAGCCTAAACGAGGAATGTTTTTATTCACTCTGACCCCACAGACATGGGAGTTTCTGTCATCACCGTGAGCCAGAGGTTAAAATGATGTCCAGAGTGCGGTGTCACGCCACCGTCTTCACATCTGCAGTGAAACAGAGAACACTCCCAGTTCTGGGTGGAACGCTCTTTGAATAGCAAAATGGAAAAAAAAAAAAAAGTTTAGAACTGACTCTGGTTGAGACTGAAGGATAATTTATAGCAGCTTGCCAGGAATAATTTGCTAATTTATTGCTGTTTGTGGTATTCTGCTGTGGGGAGGACTGAAAAGATTTTAGCATATGATGTTAGTGTTCATGTCAATAAAAGAACAACTCTTTAAAGTAAAGACAATGTATTTGCTTATGCTTGATGTGGTTATTGCTGAAGCCTGTTGTTCATTTAGTTGTGGTGTGTGTTTGAAGAATACACAGATAAGTTCAAGTCTGCTGTGAATCTGAGGACTTTCTATTTTAGCCATCATAGTAAGAAAACATGCAATTAAATTGTTAAATACTACAATGAGCATTGCAGTAAAGCTGCACTTTTCACACATTTACCTTTTTTTTTTTTATATCAAATGCCAAACTTTGCATATGTTTGATCACTTTAGCCAGTCATTTAAATATGTGCGAGTTTCCATGTTGTATTTTAGGAATAGAGTCTGAGCACTATGTGGGCTTTAAGTCTCACAATCACAATGTTGTCCCATGACTTTTTATTTAACAGTGGAAAAATGAATATTTAAACTTACAGCAGCAAGGTAAGAACTACATGAATCAACATGAGTCAGCACATGAAAAGGACGTTCTGAAGTATATGTTTACTGAGTTCAATATTCCATTTATTTACGAGGGGGTCTTAAAGCTTGGTCCATTTTGGTTTCAACTTGGGTTCACGATGTACGTCTAGATGCATTCAGTCAATGGTTTAAGTCAATATGATTACCAAATATATTACAGGTTTGTGTTTTGTCTATTTATGTTTGATTTATTGCAATCCTTTGCAAAAGCGATAAAGCAATAACACATTTTTGATTCACTGAGCATCACTAATGGACACTGAGAATCTGTGTTCTGTTTTGTGTCATTCCTTTAGCTGCTTGTGTTTATATACAGTACTTGTGTTTCCTGCCTTCCCCACCATCTCTTCCTTCCTGTTGTCAGCTTCCAATGCCAATCACCCCAGGTGTTCAGCATCATGTCTCATTAGTGTCCCTTTAAGTTCTGCATCTTTGTGTTTCCTCCTTGTCTGCGTATTGTGCTTTCCACAGCCGTCATGCTCTGTTTGCTCTGTGTCTCCCTCACCCAGTGTTATTTGCAAGATTTTGCTGCCATGTCAGACTTTTGTTTTGAGTTTTGGGTTAATAAATATATATCCTTTATTTTATCCTTGAGTTCCCCGTGTCTGTCCCTGGGTTAGATCCAACCAGAGATCATGCTGGAAATATATAACTGAATGTTTGAAGTGAAAAAAGTGTACCCAGGTAAAGGTCACCAATCAGTAGGGATGGTCATCTGCCCTCAGTTTGAATGAAGACACTGTGCTCTGAGCTCTGCATCACAGTGCACACTTTAGATTTAGGTGTTTATCGCTTTTGTACTTGGTAATGTCTTGATCTAAACATGTAGATTATAGTGACAGCAGTATATCAACACTGACAATAAAAATCCAGTTGGAAAAATTATAGCATTCAAATATATGGAAAACATCGTCTGAAATAATATTTTGATCCATTTTCCACAATATACCTGTGCCCAAAGTATTAAAAGACTTGTTGTTGCCATGGTGAGGCATTTTTCTTTGTTCGTTTTCAACATTTTTCAACATTTGCATTAATGTAATTTATTCAGCTGAAATTAATAACCTTGCATGTAGGTTTTAAAAGAAGTTGTAGCCAAAGTGCAGGACGTTTTTCCAAACTTGTGCTTCGTGTTGATTCAAGATCAGTTTCGCAACGATCAGTAAAATGAAGTGCAGATGTTATTATAGAAGAATCAATAGTTCTCATTGTTTCTTCTTATTGGACTTTGGACTTCCAAGTCCGGAGGCATCCTTACATGAATATCCGAAGGAGATGTAATAGTCACTGTTCACATTACAGATAAGTAGCACAATTAATTGCCACAGAGAGTTCTGTAACTCCCCTCGGTAACACGGCCCAGGCGAAGGAAGAAACAGAACAAGGTCAAATAAAGAAAGTTTCTCACAAAACGGTGCAGTTGGAGATTCAGCCAGGTAAAGACCAGTGATTGATTGCTCTGTGCCTGTCCTTGTGATGGGATTAAACAATTCTGAATGAGTGAATTTTAAATCGACTGTCCAAGATGTGATAACACAGAGCGAGCCACTGGACGGAAATGTAATTGGAAAGTATGAGCTGCTTTTAGGAGATCCAAGCCTCTCGCACGAAGGAGTCCTCTGTTCACTTAAGGCTCTAACAAATTGGCTCTGTGAGCGATAGTGGCAATACAATAGGGTCTGAACGTCAGAGCATGTGCTGTTTTTGTGTGCGACAGTATAACAGCGCGAAGATGATCATGCCTTTGTGTGTACGCGTGTTAGCGTTAGATGTAGATAAAATGAGCAGTGGCTCCGAACAGAAACTCTGTCCCCATTCTATATTTAGCATGTCTGCCGGGGAAGGCAGAGGATCTCTGAAATGTGAATATGACAGGAGCCTCCTGAGCCAGAGGTTATGAAGTGACATCTTGATGTGCTTGTGCCTGAATCACACTCCCACACAGAGCCAGCCGGAGACTTCTGACATTCCAACCCGGAGAATTTTCCATTCTTGACGTGTAGTTAACATGCGTTCCGGCTGCCTTTTGATCTTGTCCTGTCTTACATTATTCTACAGCGTATTGTTTGGCAGCCTCTATGTATATTCTCTTTTGTGAAAATATTGTATTTGTGAGCAATGTGGCAGCCATGTTTTGTTGGATTTGGACACGTCTGATATGCATTAAAGAGTCGTGCGCTGTGAGTTACCATCTAAATGTAAGCGACGTTTAGTCTCAGCTGCAGGATCACCTTATGTCACGGTTATTTAGGAGATATGATGCAAATATAACACAGTCCATGTTCTTCTGTGCAAATCAGACAAAACACCATAAAACAAAAATTTGCATCTTAGCTGTTTTAGAGAGCTCTTCAAACTTTCTCACTCTGGATATTTTTACAAAGTATTTATTTATTAGACTGATGAGCTAGCTGGTAGTCTGAATGTGTTCAAGACCAAAAGGAAAGAAAATAATCCCAACCCCAAAACCATTGCATGGATTTATTTTAAGATTATTTTATAAAGTATGCCACTGTCAGTTCCATGCATGGTTCTACACCAGGGCTATTCAACATAACTGCTCAGGGGGCCACAGTTTCTGAAAGCCAACAGCTCGGGGGCCAGACATCCAGCGATTAAAATTGTTATGTAAATAAGTCAAAGTTTAAAATGATCTGTTACCTTTTACATTTATTTATTTTATCGCATTCAATCATAAATGCAATAAACAGAACCCAAACTCAGAACCATTTTTTAAAATGAAGTGGGCCGGATTGAAGTCACCTGCGGGTTGGAAATGGCTCATGGGTCACCAGTTGAATAACCCTGTTCTATACAGTTATTTTGACAAAAACACTGATTGTATTTCTGCACTACACATGCTACAGCTAGCTGCTGCTGCTTTCACTATTTGTGCTTGGGAAATAACACAATATGGTTTATACACACATATATATATGTGTGTGTGTGTGTGTGTGTGTATATACAGTATGTATATGTGTACTGTGTGTATATAATGGTACCAACAACAATGACAGGTTTTAAGATAATAAATAGCATTTTTACAGTTGTTGTTGTTTTTAAGAACCATCCATTCAGTCTTGATCCTGTTCAAACTCATGAAAACCTTCTCAGTTTATCTACAACCTTTACGATATAATTTCTAACATCTCCACAGAACTCCACTTCAAATGACGTCAACTATTTTTCTAAACTGTTGTTCCTATATTTTAGTGAAAACCGTCATTAAGAAAACACATATTTAATGACTGCTCCCACCTTCAGTGCATGAAGCACAAAGTGTGAACAGATTTTTCATAGCAAGATGATTGTATTACTCAAGACAGAGGTGGCTGATCTGAATGGCTCAGCAAGGGCAGAGCACTTTGGAAAACAAAAACCTCCACCCACGGTTGCACAGGAGGTCTTCAGATGAACACAAAGGTCCAGCCGTCCTCAGAACAAATGACCCATGTCATTAACAAACACTGATTTGCGTGCGAAGCATTCCCCCTCGATGTGTGTCTTTTGAATGACACCACGCTTCTCATAATGACAAGCCAGCGTGGTTTTGTACCTCCGTGATTCTTCCTGTTTTCATTGA